ACTTATTAAGAATTAAAGTGACTGGAAAAATGACAAGTTAAGGTCATTAAAAGTATGGATTAAGTTGGCCTCAACACATTACTATAAAAAAATTATGATTGAATTTACAAGGTATGCCTACTAAATTATATCATTATATTTTATAGTAATGTCTAGACAACCTGAAGCCATACTTTTGGATTAAATATATTGCAAAAGAAATGCACCATAATAACATTTCTTTTGCAATTTATTTCAACTAACGTATGTTTAGCTGCTGCTGCTGAAAAAAAAAATCTATGAAATAAAATAACACTTATCAAAAGAAGCACTTTTCTGGTAAGTTGGGTAATGCTCGAAATAGAGGCAAAGACGGCCAAAAAGAACGAATTTCGAATGCAGCATCAAATACAGAAAAGAACATGTAGAATGTACATAATTCAGCAGTAAAAATTTAACGTAAAGATTACTGCAGAGACCACTTGTATATATATTTATAGTATATGTAATAATAGTTTGTTTTATTAACAAAACATATATATATATGTCGTTGTGTTATAAATTTGTATATAAAACATTTAGATTTTAAAATTTTTATGAAAATTTCTCATGATTAATTGATCATTTAATTTGTTGAAAATAAAATAAAAAATGCTTTAAACAAATTAACTTTAATGTAAGGTATAAAAAACCTGACTTATATATAGTAAAAAGTAATAACGTATATCCTGTAAAGTTTTTTTTTTGTTCTTTAATTTTATAATTTTGTGATTTATTAAAAAAAAAAATAAAATATATATATATATATATATATATATATATATATATATATATATATATATATATATATATATATATATATATATATATATATATATATATATATATATATATATATATATATATATATATATATATATATGTATATATATATATATATATATATATATATATATATATATATCCATATATCCATATACATATATATATATATATATATATATATATATATATATATATATATATATATATATATATATATATACATGATCGTATTTAGGAAATAAAAGAATGTAAGAAGACCATAAGTTCTTGTCGTTGAGAACCGTTAATAAGTTTACATGAAAACTTTTTGTATTAATAATATATTCTCAAAATAAATAAACTTTTCTATAGAAATATATACTTAGCATACTTGATGATAACAAATAATTAATAATTGAAAACATAAAAAAATTTAAAGAAAAAAAAAAAAAAAGTTCTGTTATTAACACATAGCTGCGTTATTCAGTTATAAGATACCTTTAACAGAAGTGTTAAGCCTTTTGTTAAAGATTTTTTTATACAATTTTAAGATTTTTTCAAAAGTGTTAAAAGTCTATTTACAAATGTTAAATTATAAATTTAATTACTGCAGTTTTTAATACAAAGTTAAAAAAGAAACAAAATATTAAAAGAATATAGATAAATCATCTAATAAAAAAAATTTAGGTTTCTGTTTGAAAAAGTAATATCTAACCTTTTGAGTTAGATATTACTTTTTATTATTATTAGATATTAAAAGTTAAAATTCTTTAAGACTATTTTATTTCTAAGTAATGCTTCTCGAAAAAAAATACAGAATTTTCCAGAATTGACTTTATAAGTTGATTAACAAATCTCGTTAGCATTTCGTAAAATGTATTTAGTTTTTTTTATTAAGTATTTTAAATTGTATTTTAGTATTTTGTATTTCAAATGTATTTAGTTTTTCATCTTTTTTGTTATACAAATTATGAAAGGGTAAAGGAGAAATATTGTTTTTTAAATATAATCATAAAACATGTAACATTAAAAATATCAAGCTCGTAGATATTTAAAACTTTTAATTTAGTTAATAGAGGCTTGGCATAAATAAATTGATCCTCAAATTTATTAATGCATCCAACATGTTTCTGTTGACGATAAAGAGCTTCCAGTTTACTTTTATTAGTACTACCCCACGCTAGGTTCGTAGATTTTAAGCGACAATGAATGACCAAACAATACAGTTACAATACAAACAATACAATATATAATACAAACAATACAGTTTATATAATACATGTTTATTTAAAAAACTCCTTGCTTTGTATAAAATTTCTATGCTGTTTGATACTTTACAACTCAAATTTTTATATGACTTTTCCATGACAAGATTTCATCAATATAAATACCGAGAAAGTTAAAAGCAGTTACTTTTTTAAAAGTATGTGATCAATAAAAAGCGGTGGCATGTCATTTTGTTTTTTTGTGTGATTTGGATGTAATAAAATCAATTTCCCTTTATCAATATAAAGAGACAGTTTGTTTGTCTTGAACCAATTAGAAACTCTTATCAGTTTATTACTAATTTTCTAAATAACAATGTAATATCATTATGAAAAAAGTTTGTGTTATCTGCAACCGTAACCGTCGTTAAATTTGAGGCTTTATAGAGATTGTTAATGTAAGTAAGAAAGAAAAGAGGCCCTAATTTGTTCCCTGATAAACTAGTTATATCAAACAAGTTTACTGGTAAAACTTCATCAACGTATTCAAATTGCTTTCGATTATTTCAATAGCTTTTTAAGCAATTTAAAACACTTCCGTTTATATCGTATATCTTTACTTTATTTAAAAGAATATTGTGATCTATTGTGTTGAAAGCTTTAGCTAATTCAATAAAAACCTAAGCTTTATATTAAGACCAAAAAATCTGGGTTCATTACTGGAAAAAAGAAAAATCAGTCAATAAATTTTTCCCGTTTGACATCCCACATGGTTCCCATAACAGTTTTGGCGATTATTTTTATAATGTCTTGTGAATGTTTATTTTCTTATCAAAAGTTTTAAAAAATCAAATTGCTAAGTAATTAAACTTCAAATTTGTTATTAAGATTTTATATTGCTGATAAACATAGCATGTCTTTACTTTTTCGAAATTATTCAAGTATTAAAAAAAAATTTTTGAATTACGAGTAAAACACACAAATATATTAGAATAAAAAGTACTCAAATACTCAAATAGAATAGCTTATTCTGCATATTAAAGCTTTTCAATCTATTTAAAAACATAAAGATATATTTAGAATTTATTTTGGTTCAACAAAATATTAACGTATAGGTACGTAAAAAAAATAATTTACGATAATGTTTCTATCAATTATTTACTTTTTTTTTAAAAAAAAATTTATATTTCAGATTAATTATGTCATTAGTTCAAATATAGGCTGCCCGGAATAAAATTCTAAATTTAAAAGATGCTAGTTAACATCTTTGCCTTTGAAGATACCTTTGAAGGCATCTGTAATAGAAGCGGATCAGTTGTAAATTGCTCCGTTAAATCCACATCTATTTTGCAGAACCATTTTTTGTGTTTTTCAATTCTAATTAATAGTTCTTGAACTCGAGAATCAAGCAGCAACTCAAATCCACTATTGGATAAAATATTTAAGACCATGGACAGTTATAAAAAATGAGCTTTAACAAAAATGCAGCCGATTTAGTAGCAGATGGTGTTTCAATTAATACATTAACTAACTACAACTTTCTTCTCTCAGCAATTCAACACAGAGGACATCATCTTTTTAAAAGTCCAACAACTCTGATAAATTTATTCCATCAAATTTTTTCTGATAAAAAGAGAGTAATAAAAAATAATTTATTTAAAATATTCTAATAGAACATAAATTCAGCTTAAAGCATGATGAATTCACATTTTTATGGCCCGGATCGTAAATTGGTCTCAACCTAGATGAAAGTGAATGTAAGAAAACCTATAAAACTGGCTTCATTAAAATTTATGGCTCCTGTCTTGCTGTAAGTTTGTTCCAAATTATTAAGAATTATTTGAATTCATTAGGTGTCAGTATGAAAAAAAATTTAGTAGGTTCTACTTAAGATCAATTCGAAGCTCATTCATTTAACGGATAGCTATTCAGTTTTGCTTTAATCAAGCAATTCAACTTTGTGTATACGATACGTTATATAAGGAAAACAAAGCCACAAACGTACCATGTTCCAAGGAAAAAGATAATAATTCAGAAAAGGCTGAACATAGATTTTATGATAATAAATTTAGTTTTGAATCAGTAAGCAATGACATTAATATTGACAACTCTGAAATTTTTCAGAATGCACAATAAGTAGTAAAATTCATAATAATCTCATCAGTTTGTAATCAAATTTTTCAGAATGAAGTTACTGAGGAATTTGATTAAGGAATGGAACTTTATCTGGATTGTTGTTATTACTAGAATTCACTTTTTTCAATGACTGCGCCTGTGCAAAAAGCTAAAAAATATTTATTCCATACATTTATTAAATTAAATGTATATTTTGAAACCTTAGCTTTACAACATACCACTTTAGAGCCAGCAAAACTAGCAATAGAAGTCCATAGCAGATGAAATGCAACTTTATCGACAGCAGATACAGGCAAAAAAAGCAAAAAAGTATACAGAAATATAATAATTACAGGCAAAAGAACAGAAAATCTTGAAAATATTTAAAAAGTGATTCTCTCTAAAAAACCCACATTAACAGTTCTGCACAAAAATCAGATTATGATTGTTTGATTAATCATTAAATTCTCTACTTTTCTTTAAATTTTTTGCGCCTACTTTACAATAAAAAAGCAACACTCATACATTTATAAGTTAAAGTAGCAGCAATCCTTGCATCTTTTAAAAGTGTTATATAGCAACAAAAGAACATAAAGAAAAGCCCCATCATTAAAAAAAAAAATTATAAACATCTTTATTGCATTTTTTTGTTGTTATTGTTAAAAAAATAACACTTAATGTTCCTCCACATTATTTTAATTTTTTTAAGTTTTCAAAAGCATTAAAACATTTCCCAATTGTTGATGTTGCTATAATGTTAAAAAAAGCATCTTAAAATATCTTTGGACTACATTTTGTGAGAGTGTGTGTGTCTAGGTGTGTGTGTGTGTGTGTGTGTGTGTATGTGTGTATGTGTATGTGTAGATCTAATTATTTTACAGTAAATTATAAAGTAACCTGTACATGTAACATTTTGATTGCAAAGTTGCTCTTCAATTAAACTGCTATTATTACAACCAATGTAGTTTGGATAAAATGAAAAAAAGTTATTACAAGTTCGTTTTCTATATTGGTATGGACCATTAACTGAGTTTTTACAAGAAGCAGAGCATGTTTCCCATGTATTCCATTGTGTTAAAGTTCCTGTTATCAAAAATAATAATTTTAAATTAATATATATGTTATGATAATATGAAATATGGAGAATATGTATAAAAATATATGTTTTGTATGATATTCTATATACTTTATGTATTGTGTTATTTTGTTATAGACTAGTATAATTATAGCTCTTTTGAGCCAACATAATTAATATGGTTATTCTTTACAATCAAAAGAGCTAGAATATTATTATGAAATAAAAGAAAGATGGATCGATTCATGAATCTGACAGACTTGGTATAGATCCAAACTCAGCAGATGCAGCTAAAAACATACAACCATTGGTTAAGAACATTTAACAATTTTGTAAGTACAGTAGATAATAACTTCATTAAGCTTAATCTCCTAATAAACCATATTAACCTAATGTATATGAATTCATATCAGAGTGTGATGATTTTGAACAAGCAACAAGTATTCTCGAGTCTATCTACATAAAACCAAATAATGAAATATTTGCCAGACACATTTTGTCAACACGAAAGCAAAAACCAAGTGAAACAATAGATCAATTCCTCAATGAACTTAAAAATTTATCTAAGGACTGTAAGTTCACTGCTGTTACAGCTGAGCAATATAAATCTGAAATGATTCGCGATGCGTTTATAAATGGCTTACTCTCCAATAGTATACGCCAACGTTTACTAGAAAACAAAATAATAGACCTTTCATCAGCCTTTGACCAAGCTAGATCTTTAGACGTGGACCAACAAAACTCAAACTTATACTCACAATTGACTATACCTACCTCTGCCTCTATTCAGGAAATCAAATCACCTTTACAAAAACAGTCCATGACTGATAATCACTTAGCTGCTATAGCAAAATCAAAACAATTGTGCTGGTTTTGTGGAAACATAAGACATCCACGTACTAAATGTCCTGCTCGCGAAGCTATTTGTCACAAATGTAAAAAGATTGGTCATTTTGAAAAACTTTGCAGATCATCTAATGTTTCTGCTGCAATTCCAAAAATTGATGATGATTACTTCTGTGCCACCATATCAGCTTCAGCAAACTCTCTATTCAGAGTTTGTCATAACATCATTATTAATGATAGATATAAAGCAGAAGCATTAATTGATAGTGGAAGTACAAACAAAAGTTTTATAAGCAACAAACTAGTGACTCTACTCCATTTAAATATTATTTGTGAACAGAGTGTAATTGGAATGACATCAGCTGCCTTATCTGCAAAATCAGATGGATATTGTTATGTCTCAATAACTCTTCAAAACAAAATCTATAACAAAGTCAAGTTGCATGTGCTGGATAACTTATGTGTAGATGTTATTCTTGGCACAGATTTTCAAGAGTTGCATGAAAGTATTACCATCAAGTATGGTGGGAAAAGACCACCCATAACATTTGCTGCATTAATAACAATGAAAACTGAACCTCCTGAATTATTTGCTAATCTCACGCAAGATTGTCGACCGATTGCCACTAGATCTAGAAATTATTCTCAAAGAGATAAAGAATTTATTAAATCTGAAATCCATCGCCTGACTCAAGCAGCAATAATAGAGCCTAGTAATTAACCTTGGCTTGCCCATGTCTTAGTAGTAAATAAAAAGACTAAACGTCGCATGGTTGTTGATTACTCTGAAACTATTAATAAATGTACTCAATTAGATGGATATCCTCTACCTAAGATTGAAACGATTGTGAATATAATTTCTAAATACAAAATTTATAGTACTCTCGACCTTCGCTCAGCATAATACCAAATCCCTTTATCAAAAAAAGATCGACCATATACTGCTTTTGAAGCTGACAATAAGTTGTGGCAATATACTAGAATGCCTTTTGGAGTTACCAATGGATATGCATGCTTTCAACGCAAAATAGATGACTTTTTTAGAAAATATAAACTAACTGACTGCTTTCCTTTCATTGATAACATTACAATATGCGGTAATAGTCAGAAAGAACATGATGAAAATCTACTTAAGTTCAGATTAGCTGCCATTGATGCTGGAATTACATTTAATGAAGAGAAGTGTGTATTTTCAACAAAGACTTTAGATTTTTTAGGTTACCGTATATCGTATGGCTCCTTAAAACCAGGTCCTTAGAGACTTGCTTCTCTCATCAAGTTACCCCCATCTGATAATGCAAAGTCTTTACAGCGAACTATTGGAATGTTTTCGTACTATGCAAAATGGATAAGAAAGTTTTCAGATAAAATCAGACCTTTAAACTCTGTTACTCAATTTCCACTCAATCAGCAGCAAATATCAGCATTTGAAACATTAAAAAATGAACTTGTTCAATCTTCCATGCAAACCATTGATGAGAACATACCTTTTACTGTGGAGACTGATGCTACTGATTTTGCCATATCCGCCACACTTAATCAGGATGGAAGACCTGTTGCCTTCCATTCACGTACCCTTCAAGGGAGTGAACAATACTATTCATCAGTGGAGAAAGAAGCTCAAGCGATAGTTGAAGCCATAAATCATTGGCGTCATTTTCTTTTGGGTCAACATTTCATTCTCATCACTGACCAACGATCTGTGGCGTATATGTATGATTATAAATCAAGCAGTAAAATAAAGAATGATAAAATAATACGTTGGAGAATAGCTTTGTCTCCATATTCTTATGATATCCATTATCGTCCTGGCCAATGTAATAGCGGTCCAGATACATTTACTCGAGTTAAATGTGCAGCAATAAGTTCAGAATCTTTATATAATTTGCATGCTGCACTTTGCCATCCTGGTGTTACTTGCTTCCATCATTTTATTTGATCAAGAAACCTCCCTTATTCAGTAGAAGATGTTAAACAAATATGTAGGGATTGTAGAATATGTAGAGAAATAAAACCCAAGTACTACCGCCCAAATGATGTGCACCTGATTAAGGCGACTCAGCCCTTCGAACGTATATCTATTGACTTCATAAGCCCATTACCTTCTTCAACCCCTGAACAGTATATGCTAACAATTGTAGACGAATACTCACGTTTTCCATTTGCTTATCCTGTGAAAGATATGACAACTCAGACAATAATAAACTGTTTAGCTGATCTTTTTTCAATGTTTGGTATGCCTAGCTATGTTCATTCGGATCGTGGATCCTCATTAATGTCTTCTGAATTAAAGCACTGGTTCTTATCAAAAGGGATCGTAACTAGTAGAACAATCCCTTACAATCCGACTGGAAATGGGCAAGTTGAAAGATACAATGGAGTTAATTGGAAGGCGATATTACTTACTCTGAAATCTCGAATTCTGCCTATATCATCATGGAAAAGAGTTTTGCCTGATGCACTTCATGATACAAGATCTTTATTATGTACTTCTACTAATTGTAGTCCACATGAACGTTTTTTTAATTTTCAAAGAAGATCATCATCTGGGTCTTTAATTCCTTCATGGCTTGTTAACCCTGGACCTGTACTTATAAAAAGAAATGCAATGCAAAGTAAATATGAAGATTCAGTAAATGAGGCTCAGCTCATTGAAGCAAATCCTCATTATGCCATTGTAAGATTTCCTAATGGTCATGAGACTACAATGTCTACAAAACAGCTGGCTCCTATCGAAACAACTCCTGTAGTACAAACATCAAATGACAATTTAGAAATAACAGCTATTGATAACTACCCCTTAACCCTAATGGTAGCAATGAAACTCCGTTAGTCTCCGAAGAGGAACTAGAAAGCAGAGGAAATCCTATAGAGCAAAGTACTCTGCCTTCTCGTAGATCTTCACGAATTTCTAAAGCACCAGAAAAACTCAACTTATAAATACACCTGAACACTTTTAAGAGGAGGGTGAATGTTAAGATAATATGAAATATGGAGAATATATATAAAAATATATGTTTTGTATGATATTCTATATTCTTTATTTATATATATATTTATATATATATATATATATATATATATATATGTATATATATATATATATATATATATTATATATATATATATATATATATATATATATATATATATATATATATATATATATATATATATGTATATATATATATATATATATATATATATATATATATATATATATATATATATATATATATATATATATATATATATATATATATATATATATATATAAATTGTTTTCATTGTTATATAGAATGTTATATTAATAGAATATATTATACAGAATGGCATAAAGTTAAAAAACTTAAAAAAGTATTTGATTGTATTAGATTAAATAAGATTAAAGTTTTTTAGAACAGTGGTACATGTTCTAATATCTCTCAGCATCATATCTCTAACATCTCTCTTGATCTATTTTTTTTTAATTAAAGCATTTTTAACTCAGTACATTTTGCCTTTTTCAGTTTTTTCTTACGTTCTTATAACAACAAGAGAACTTAAATTGAATTGTAACTTTATTCATAAAACTAAAAATCCATTTCTACAAAGAAAAAATGTAAATTCTTAACTATTATTAATAAGTTTTCATAGTTTGCTAAACGGCGCAACATGAATCAGACAAAGCGTCTTACTATACTTGTACGTCGTTAATAGAGTAGCTACTGACTTAGAACGTCATGTTAATAATCATAAAAATCAAATCAAAATATCATCGTCATCGAATGAGTTGACCTTCTTTTTTTAATCTAAAACTCAAAGATGTTGCAGAAAGTAAACAGTGTGCATATGCAATATTTTTAATGTTGTATAGGAATGTTTTATGTTACATGAGAACCCGTTAATATTAAGTAATAAAATGTTATATTTCATAAAAATATTTTTCCTATAAAAGCTATACGGATATTGTACTTTGTTTTTATTCTCATCCAAAGTCAATATCGTAGCAGTACTAGAGCGTTTAAAAACAAATGTAAAATATATGAGGACAAAAAGTGAAAACTAAACTAGGTAAACACTGCAAAAGCTGTTTATCACTTTAATATTAGGCGCTAAGATAAATAAAAAAACATAGATTCGTTGAGGCAATATTCACTTAATCAGGTTTTTGGTAAATTTTTTAAATTTCATTCTTAAACTTATTGTACAATATATTTAAAAATCAGTATTGTTTTACAAAATTATGAAAGGTTTTGAAATTATATTTCCATTTATTTAAGCTTTAAAAAAATCTGTTACACCTTTAAATTTACAAGCTAAGATGACTCATTCGAATTTGCCGACTTAAACAAAATTTACAAGTAACTCCTTAGTTCTTGAAATGGTAGAAGTTAATTTTTTTTGTATAATAAAGACTTCACTGTGTTTCAATCATTAAAATATCTTCTTTATTATATTTGAAATATAATACAAGATGAAGAATTAAAACTAAAAAATACTATTTTTAAAAAGTTTATTTTTTAAAAAAGTTTTTTTTTTTCATAATGGTTTACTTTTATTAAATAAAAGTATTAACAATACTTGCAAATTGTACATCACTAGTGCAATTAAACATAAAATTTTTTATACTACTACCAAACTGGCATTGTAGTTGTTAGAAGCTGGTGTCTTACATTATTAATATATTTTTTTGTTACTTGAATCTAAGTTCTACTTATGCAGGGCTTCGTAATGTTACCAGTAAAATTATTACTAATTATTTTCTACAGACGTTGACCAATTATCAAAAGAGCTATCATCTCTATTACGATAAACCAAAACTTAGTGTAACTTAGTTTCTCTATTCAACAAGCTGTATTCTTTTACTTCTTCCTTCATGCTACGAAAACCTTTACTTATCCAGTTTTTTCCCATTCTTATCAAAATGACCTTATAATTCTTACCTATCTTCAAGTTTTCCGTTTCTAAACAACAAACAATTTTTGGAGTGTTCAATTAACTGTTTTCTACCCTTTTAATCTATCGTCTACTTTAAAGTATCTAATAACTTAATAGTGGTTGCTTGCAGCCTTGTTGGAGGAAAATTCGTGTTTAAAAATATATAAATAAATGCTAATATTTAACAAATAGTAAATGTAACTATGGTATTATAATATATAAAAAATTTAAACTTTTTTTCTAGCCCTGGCAATTAACTCTTGATTAGTCTTATAATTTTTCTAGAGCCGGGTCTGCAAAAATACTCATTTTTAGCCGGGGGTAGGGCCCTGGTTACTTCTTAGCTTTAATATTTAGCATCAAAAACATAAATTTGTTAGATACATAAAAAACTCGAAGTGTTCACCTGCACCACACATGACATTATCATTCTGCAAGTTCATTGTTATGGCTATTTATAAATATTTATAATGGAATAAATTTATAAAAAAAATATTTAAAAAAATTGCGTGATAACTATTGTAAACTTAAGACAACGCGAGTTTAACAGAGTTTACCTAGTAAGGAAAAGAAGGATGATTTTACAGTATAATCTATGATCAAAAAACTTTTTATAATTAATTAACCGCAAAAAAATTTTAATTTACATTCCCATCGTATGATTAAATATTTGTTATTGTAAACAGCCAAACTTGAGGTGATATTTTTTCTGCGTAATATTATATTTTAAGTTATATTTGTTTACGCAAGAAAAAGATCACAAAAAATGACTAACGGAGCCGTCCAGTTACGTAGACCTGGGAGATGTGATATTTAAACAGATAGTAGATAGAGTTTCAATAGATTAAATGCACACATTAGCCATCGATGGCCACAAGCCATCACTCTTAAAGAAAAAAACCACGACCCCGTCCGAGCACATAGTCATCAAGTGCTTATCCGGCGTGGATTGTGTAGCTTCTTTATGAACGTGGGCGTGAGTGTGTGCGCAGTCTTTAGTTTATCGAGCGGTTAGTCATTTAGTCATATACATATATATATATATATATATATATATATATATATATATATATATATATATATATATATATATATATATATATATATATATATATACATATATATATATAATATATATATATATATATATATATATATAATATATATATATATTTAAAATTTTATAACAAGTTTGAGGTTGGTTTATACCATGACAATGGCATAGCGATTAGTTTTTAGCAATAAAAACGACCCTCAAATGGAAATATATATATATATATATATATATATATATATATATATATATATATATATATATATATATATATATATATATATATATATATATATATATATATATATATATATATATATATATATATACATATATATATATACATATATATATATATATATATATATATATATATATATATATATATATATATATATATATATATATATATATATATATATATATATATATATATATATATATATATATATATATTTATATATTTAAAATTTTATAACAAGTTTGAGGTTGGTTTATACCATGACAATGGCATAGCGATTAGTTTTTAGCAATAAAAACGACCCTCAAATGGAAATAATAAAAAAAACTTCATGTCAAAATATTTAACTGCAATGGCTAACGGATTTCTTTACAATGTGTTATAAAAATTTTTTAATAACATTTTAATGTAACTCTAAATCTCAGTGACCTTAGCACTTTTAAACGTTATTTTAAACCTGATAAGACATTAAATTACACCTATGCGAATTCAAGTCACCATCAAAGTATACTAAAACATATACCGCACTCGGTTGAACTTAGATTATATGAATAGAGTTATTTCCTAAAATTACATATTAAAAATTGTAATTAAATAACAACTTCTAGACCAAACAGTAAAAAAACTTACATCATCTGAATGCTGCAGATGTTTTTCAACTGAGTCAGGCACATTTTGGGCAGTGTTAGTTTACTCAAATGCTAATATATATACTTATATATAACTATATTGATATATATTTATATAAATATAATAAAATATATAATATATATAAATATATATAATATATATAAATATATATAATAT